ACCAGGAAGGTCAGAGGCAGCCTGGGGTTTGCTAACAACTAGCAACAACTAATTCATTTGTAATTACTACACAGCGGGGACAGGTGTTCCCAGGCTAAACGATGGTTTCTATGCTATTGTTCAGCATTTTCTAACTCGAGTGACTTTCCTATTCCATGGGTCTGCTCACCAGCTGTGGAATCCAGCAGGACCGGCTAGGGAGGATGAGGATCCCCACGGCAAGCCCCCACAGGCATCCTATCTGCTCCAGCAAACAGACCGGCGGCGAGTGCCGGGCCACCATGCTCCAAGCACCCAAATCAGGCCTTGAATCAGAAAAGCCCACATTTCAAACAGGTGGTTGATATCTAGAGTTCTCCCTCTTCCCCCTCCCACCCCCCTTCCCCTTTCTCTAAACAACTGAAGAATCTGGCTCAGGCACTCACTGGAGTACTTCCTATGGCAGTGATTCTCGCCACAAAACTCCGCAAGGGAGTTTCATTACAGGGGCCTTCCTCCGTTCTGACTGCACATTTGAAACATCTAGAAGCTTGAAAACATATGGTAAGCCCTGAACACCATCCCTGAACTAAGTGGATCAAAAGCTTGGGAGGGGGGCCCGGGCAGGTTCTTTCTTTCCTCCCCTAGATGGGGCTGCACTGAAAAGTGGCTATCAGTATCCCAGGGGAGTCATTCAGGAGAGGCTTACCAAAGGGTCCCAAGTCTGTTCCCAGCCCTTCTCCTCTCCGGCCCCAAATTGGGAAACACTGATTTTAAAATGAATGGGAGATGGGTCTAGAACCTAAACCACTGCACAACACTACCAGATATTCCAGAGGGCTTAGTCTTATTGAAACCAGGGGCTGGGAAGCGCCAAAGCTTTCCAAAACAGCTTTTAAGTCTACAAAAGCATTTTAAAACTGTTAGCACTATTGGAAGCCACATTCTTTCCTTGTGACTACAATAGAACCCTAGAAGATATAAAAAATTAAAATCTATAGAAAATGGCAGGTTGTTTATAGAACAAAATACTTTAAAAAGTCTTCAGGCTAAATACAGTATATAAACTAGTGTGTGTTCAACATAGCCAATTCCATTTGTTTGCAAAATACTTATTCTACACGCAATCTTGCCATGGATTAAAAAAAAAGTGGCCAAGAAAAACCGCATGTGCAAAACAAAACATGAAATCACATTCGTGCTCTTCTGTATTGATGCTTAAGCCACATTTAAAAAATTACAAATTGAAAAATAGAGCTCCATAATCTAAGACTTCCCTTTCTTTAAGAAAACGAACGTTTAGTGCAGTCTGTCTTTATTGGTTGCTTGCATAGGTAGGAAGAGCATGCTTTCCGGATTAATTGGGGGCCATGCAAAATTGCTCTCATGACTGGAAAAAACGGATCGGCCATGCTCAGAATGCAGCTGAAAGCCAAACACTTGGGGAGTTGACCGAAAGATGGAGTGAGACAACGAGCCTTCATTTAAATAGAAACATTGGGCTCCACCTGAAGTAATCCAGTTTGGCAATAATGCCTCTTACGAAACTAAAATGAGAAAGTGACAGCTACTTTTTATACTTCTGTGCATGATATAGGCACTGGTTTGTCAGCAACTCTTGCCCTTCTCACCTCCAAATAATACAAAGTCCGACACACCTCACAGAATATGTGTTTTATTGAAACTGTGCTTATAATTTGCAGACTATCCCAAATCCAACCCGGAAACACTAATTCGTTCTGTGTCCCATGCTTGTAATAGCCTACATAGGAAACAGTGACTTCAACTGTTTACGGGTTTGTCAGAATGAAATGCAATGGTAGAAGTCAGTCTACTTTGTGAAGAAGCACTTGCTTACTTAAAAGAACTGAGTTGTCTGTTTCGCAGCCTTTCCATTCCACTTTGGCTAAGGCCGCCACTGTCATTCCCTTCACACACTGTTCCCGTTTTCATCACGAGAGTTAGAGGGATGACCATTTTTCTCCCCCCACCCCCACGCCCAAAGGATCCCCACAGCTATACAAACAGGGATGACCAACTTCTGATGTAAACTGACTGCATGATGACCTTTCACCCGCAGTACTAGAGACCGCGCGCGCGGTCTGGAAAGTGACTGGATGAGTCGAAAGTTTTCAAGGATGACGGGCACTTTTGGTTTTCAGAACAGACCGGAGTTGCTCCAGAGAACCCCAAGCCTTCGCTGATCCACCAGAATCCATGGGACCCTTTAGTTCCGAAGGACTGACGTCACTCCATTCCTGACAGCATCAGCGCCCCGGTCCACAGGCTGTGCGCCCCACGCTTCTCAGCTACAGCACATTCCGGAGGCTTTCGGCTCACCTTTACAACACTAAGCAGGCCTTCATGAATGTTTGCAGAATAACTGATCACAGCAGAGTTTAAGGGAGCCTCACAATCACAATGGTTTATCACACCCAAAATATTCCCATATCCATTTCTTTTGGTCCAGCATTTTGTTACTTACTTTCAGTTAGCTGCTGTAGGATGAGGAAACACAAAAGGGGTGGGAGGGATGGTCTACGATGCCATGAAAGAATGGGGTTTCCTTTTCAATGGCTTTCCTTTGTGCTTCCACCTTCTAGGTAAGGTCCTACAAAGGCAAGGCATAGGGCTGTCTTAGGGAAGGACCCAGCCGCAGCACACAGGATGGCTACAGGAAGAGAAATCAAGAATAAAAACTTTTAAGAAGCAGGCATTACAGACGCAACACTACTGTTGCTAATTTTGTGCCTGCTGGGAAGTTGTTGCTCTTACCAGGCACTCCTGGTTGTCAGCCATAAACCCAGTCGCACTGCCCTCAGCAAATGATTCTGAACCCAAAGACACATCCAAGAGGCCTTAAGGCATTTGTGGGGAAACAGAATTAAAAGATATGGAATTTTCTTACAAACTTGTTCATGACCCCTGGTCATTATGCCAAACATCACCAGGCAAATGAAAAAGCAAACCCTGACACCCTAAACTCCTACCAAGAGAATAAACTGAACTAAAAATGTCCCCCAAAGATACGATCTACCTCCAAAGAGCGCCTCCAAAATATTGGAGCAAAATATTCTTTTCTGTGGCAAAGTTGTTCTTGAGCTAAGGGTAAGTGGATTTCCATCATTTACGAACCACAGAAGGATAAGAGTTTGAAGCTGCATAGACAGTGTCATAGTAACTCCCGATTTCTTCCCTCTACTTAATGAATCTGGAACAAGGAATAAGCCCCATAGGCAAGCAGCTATCAGATACTGAAATTTCATTTCTGAGACCCCAGGGAAAATTAAAGGGGCCTACAGAAAAAAAAAAAAGTTGTTTTCAAGAGACTAGTCATAATAGTAAATGCATTCCTACATGGCTCAAGAATAAAAATTATCATTTATCATTACGAAAATAAAACTAGTTTCTATTAATGCTTAACTGATTACAGAAGGGAAAGTGTTCTTAAAACCCTTTAATTCTAAGACTGGCTTCACAGCTTCAGACAGGAAGGAGATTTCAAATGAGATCAACCTAGTAGAGAAATGAGAGGTTCGAGTTAAATAAACACTCAATTCCTAGTGTTGTCAATTTTCACCCTTGGTCCATCTGTGTCAGGAACTAAAAGCAGTCAATGAAAAAAATGAGAGAGCTGGCAGAGCTAACCTCTGGCCTGCTGTGAAGGTGCTGCTGGAGGCGGTCGGTGGGGCCAGCAAGTCATCCTGCAGCCACTGTTGTGCTGTACCGGCCTCCAGATGTCTGGGCAGTCAGCCAGGGAAACTGAGTGAGGAGGTGAGTGGAGGTCCCACGAGGGCAATGGGCAACAGGCTCAAAATGGGCAACAGGCTCAGGCTCAATGAATTACCTTGAGCAGGATGGCAACTTCCACAAGGCCGCAGATGTTAAGTCTTAAACACTGCAAGTGTCTGAAAATTCCAGCTACCCTCACAATAAATGGCCTCCAGACTTGCCTGTGACCTGCTAATGCTCAAATTAGCAGCAAAATAAACTTTAAGAACCCACTGGAAACATTTCGCAAGAGGTATTCATGAAAATAATAATGAAAAACAAAAGGCAGTGCAGAATTCATAGCTATGCATGTATGTGTATACTACTCACTTCATACACAGGAATACTGAAAAGGAAAATTATACCAGATCTGTGCACCAAGAGTTCGGAAAGAACTTGGAAGAGTCTATATAACTGGATGGGGGGGGCGGGGTGGGGGGCAACTAACAATTCAAAGCACATAACTTAGCATGCTGGGATTCATGACAAAGTGACAAATGCTATTCAAGGAGACCAAGGACCGCGACCCTTAACATTAAAAGGAGAAATATATATATATACTAAAACTCAAGCAGGTAAACATGACCGGGATATCTCCAAAAGGCTTGCCAGAAGGCGCAGCCTATCTAGTGGGAGATCTGTGTGCGGCCCACTTTTCCCTTAAGCCAGAAATGTAATTTGCACCACCGCCAGACGGCGCCTCCTGCTTGTGAACGGCTCTGGATGAGAAGTGAAACACGTCAGCACAAAGAAGGAAGGACGGACAAGCAGACCTGGAAGTGTGCGTGGTGTATGTACTCCGTCACACGTCGCTGCAACCTGCCCTCGCCGATTGGGCCTTAGGCATCGTCTCTCCTCTCCGCCGTACGTCACAAGGACACGTGAGTATGCGAACACAGGGGCAGCACAGAGCTTTCAGTGGGTAACAGACAAAACAGGACCACCAGAGAAGGGAAATGGTACAGATCCACGCATCCAGCAGAGAACCCATTCTTCCCCGGAAGCGATGAGGGGTAACTGCTCCACCACAGTGGAGAACCCTCATGGCCCAAGCTCCCAAATGGAGAGGGGAAAACTGAAAGACTCATGCCTGGCTTTCTGGCTACCCACCCCCCGCCCCCCCACTCCTGGAGCATATCCTCAGAGTCAGGCAGCGCACGGGGCACATCTGCCGAAGGAAGGGGGTGGGCGATTCCAGGCCTGCCTCTCAACACTTCATGTGTGGCAGTAGGAGAAATGACACAGTCACAAACCCGTCACCCTCTTTAATCCATCCACTGCTACACATCTACCCTAGGCGAACTGAGGAAATACCTGAGAAACATTAGTGTTAAAATATTGCCCTTTACAAAGACTGGGAAATGGGGTGAAAGTGCAGAAAGCAACAGTTTTCCCTCGGTTTGTTCGGCTGGGAGGCAGCGTCTCAGTTTTTAGAGCTCCAGGTGCTACACGAGGATCCGCATGAGGGCGGATCCTGCTCAGATGAGATCCAGGTCAAACAGTCGCTCCGCTGCGGAGTACATTTAATGAGAGCTTAACTGGTTCACAGGCTTCAAACCCCTAGTGTCCAACAAAGGCCGTTAGAATTCTCCAGAAAGAAATATGTACCATTGCTAAAGGGACTGTCCAGGGTAGCGTCTATAATTATTCCAGTTAGCTTGGTATCAATGTTTTGCCTATGGCTGTTATTTGGTTCAATGGTAGAATAAGGCGCCACTTCACACAATATACAACTGAATTCTCCTCACATACGTGGGCGCACACACCCCCACACATCCACATCAGGCACATCGCCTAGAAGATACAAAAGCGTAGAGGGCTTCGGTGGGAGGGGGAAGGGTTTTTAAATAAACAAACATCCTGACAGATGAAACACTTGGCTTGCAGAAATTCACTGCGGTTGGTGAGAAGGCCGTGCACAGGCTTGCATGCCAGAAGAGAACTTTTTTGAGGATTTTTCAGCAGACTGCTTGCCACCGGGAGATGAGGGAACTCCACAGTCTAGCTGGGAAGACTTGGATTTGCGAGTGGACAGCAGGGAATGCTTGGCAGAAGCAGGGTCCTTGCCAACTCGCTGCTCTTTTCCCACCGAATTTGAGCTGGGCAGCTGGGAGCCTGGAGGCTGGGCGCCCTTCTCTGACTTATCATCCCCTGAACTCTGGCAGGCTGACTTGACCGAACTTCCGCCTGCCTTCCTGGAGAGAAGCGCTGTCTTGCCAAGATCAGTTGACCGCCGGGTTTCCTTCTGCCTCAAGGCTGATTTGAAGAAGGACAGCCCCTTGTCCTCGGACTTGCTGTCCCTCTTCAGACCAGACTTCATGCTCAGGCTGGGAGACCGCAGGCTGGCCATGGAGGAGCTCCTGACATGCTTGCTGTCTCCTCTGCCCTCCCCGACTCTGGTCTGACCCACCCAAGGGGAGACGGGTTTGGAGGTGGAGGTGACGCTGGCCCTGTCAGAACCGAGGCTTTGTCTAGAGCCTTCTCGGCTTAGGCTTCGGTCTGAAGTCCTGCTCTTCCCAGGAGGGAAAGGGCCCCTGGTGGCAGGGCCTGTGGGTTTTTTGGCAGACGAGGACGTGAGGGACGAGGTGGACTTCTGCTTCTGTGGTGAAGGAGATGGTCCAGCGTCCTTGGGCTTGGGGGACGACTCCTTTTTGGGATGGACAGGGGCAGGGGCTGCATGACGTCCACTGGCCCTGGAAGAAGAATCTGCCTTGCTCCTGGAGCGGGAGGGCTTTACAGAAACTTTTACGGGAACAGGAGAAGAAGGAGATGTACTTGAAAGAGATGACTCCTGGCTTGCCAAGACCGTTCTCCCCTTCCGCAAGCTTTTATCTGGCTCAGAAGGGCCTTTGGAGCTGGGAGATCTCTTGGCCGTGCTCTCTGGCTTCTTTGAGAGTGAGCCGGGGTGGCTTGGCAGCTTTACTTCTTTGACTGGAGAGCTGTCGACAGAATCGCTCTGATCCACATACGCAATCTGGTTGTTGTTATCGAAAGGATCGGAGACTGAAGGCAAACGGTCCCCTTGTGCTGCCTTTTTGCTCTGTGCATCGGCAAGACTGGAGTTCAATTTGCAGGCCTCGGGGACTTCTTTGAACACCCCTTCCATGACAGCCAGAGGGGCCCGGCCCACAGCTCTGTGCTCACGTCGAGTGTGACTATCATTCGCTTCCTGGTAAGTGCTAGAAAGGTTTCTCAAACTGCCAAAGCAGGAGATGGAGACCTTGTCATCCACTGCCTCGCCAATCTTCTCCAGGGTGGAGGCGGAGGTGTGAATCGGGGAGTCCCCTGAGAATCGGGAAGGAGAATTGGAGCGCATCTGCAGCTTCGCAGACAGGGACCAAGATGGCCTCATGCAATTTTCGTTGACAGCCAAGGGGCTGGTGACAGAGGATCTGGATGACAAGCTTTGACGTTGGACACTTCTCACAAATGGTCGAGTTGAAAATCCCCCTGAGTAAAAGCACAGAGAATACCATTACTCTAAACCAACAGAAAAGTGCTACGGAAGCTCAGGGGACTAACGACGGGAGGAGACCCGGGTGTGGAATGGAGCAGGACCTTCAGAATCAGCATATCTGGGGTCTAGTCATGGCTCCGTCATGGACTAGCCATGAGACGGTGAATTTTGCTGAGCCTTGGTTCTGCACTGATAAGATAACAGACAATACTGTGACCATTCCCTTCACATTCTTGGTCCATATCAAGGTTCAGCAAACTCTACCTATACAAACTCAGACGGTAAATACTTTAGGCTTTGAGGCATGGTCTTCCATTGCAGTGTGAAAGCAGCCACAGATGACATGTAAACAAATGAGCCAATAAAACTTTATTTACAAAGGAAACAGCAGGCCAGATTTGGCCCATGGGTTGTAGTTGGTCGACTGCGAGGATTAAATGTTAAATGTCCTGTGTCCAGCAGAACACCTGACACTCCACAAATGCTCAATCAATGTGAGCTTGGATGCAGCCTTTTCACACAGGATGGCGTGGGGGTCATATAAGTGAAGCGCCTTGCCTAGGACAACACAGATACTGAGAGGCAGAGTTAGACCAGAACCCACAACCCCATGACCATCCCTCTGTACTACATGCAAGTTGGCCTGTCGTTGTCGACAATAAAAGTAGGTCAGTGGAAAGAACTAGAGACTTGGATACAACACACTGAGTTGTAAATAACCCTCCCCCTCAAATATTCTGAATTATATTCTAATACTGTTAACTGCAGCAACTATCAAACTATCTAAGATCCTAAAAGGCAGGACGTGATGATGGTTACAAGGGTATTGATTTCACGAACTACACTGCTTAAAGATAGATTGGGAGAACGCTAGCCAAGCTTACTGTTAAAATGACAGTGATTCAAAATGTAAAGGCTGCCTTGAGGATAAGCCCTACCCAAACAAGTAAAGAGTCACTAGTTTTCCATGGAACATCAAGAGCTAGAAAGGAGCTCGGCAATTATAGTCCAATATTCTTACTTTATAAACAAAGCAGCAGCCAGCCAGAAGCAGATCTCCTAGTCTGGCATTCTTCCTCCAGCCCCCTACAATTTTTCTTCCATTTCATTTTCTCAGAATTATCCATCATCACTAGAAGCAGATTAGAGCGATCGGAATGCTGGCTGCAGAATGAGACTTGGAGGAAGATGAGTCACTGTCCTCATTACGGATGCTGAGCTCACTCTCTCCCCCTGCCAGTTCTCAGTGCTTTGACTGCCTGGTCCTTCCCACACCACCTGCCAGGCCCTTAGGAACCCAGGCCTGCCTGGCCCGTGGATGTCATCAGAGTGGCATGTGAAGGTAAGGGCCCCAAAGTGCAATTTCCATCAGCTTTCCCAAGTTTTACATTGTGCCTACCGCCAGAATTCCGAAAAGCTGCCTCCAGGCAGAAGCAAAAGTGCTTGTCCTCAACGCTCCAATTCTATAAGGAACAACGGGTCACCTGCTCTGAGGGATTCAGTGTGATGCAGGAGAGAGGCCTCGGGTGAGGAGAGGCAATCCCCAGGATGGCAGTGACCTCTCACAAGGTGGCCCTAAGCAAATCATTACCTCACTCAAGCTCCTCAGAGCTAGAGCTATTCTGTACACCTTAGAAAGCAATATGAAAAAAATATATACAGATAAAAATTTTAAATTCTAGCTTACACACTGAAGATTAAAAGTACTGAAAAATACAGTGGAAGAGGAAATTCTAAGTAACCGAGGAAAAGCAAACAACCGTCTTGATGAGTCAAAAAGTATTGCTACCACAGCTCCGGTTCCCACATGCTTGGGTTTATTCCAAATATACCATGTTTAAACACAGCTCTGTGGTCAGTGGATGGCTGCAGAAAAGTTCTCTCAGTGATACACTTGTCTTAGTCTCCTTAGGGGGCCTTCAAAAATAGGACACCACTGGAAGAAAATGTTATTTTGAGATCAGGGCTGATAACAAATTTTGAACAAAAGTCAGGTGGCTCTCTTCCCAAATCACTGAAGTTTTGCAACAAATTTAAACGGGAACCACACAAAACAACAGTACTGAGATGGATTACGCATGTAAGGACAGTCAGAAGCCGTGGGTTATGGCACTGGTGTTTGGAGGACTTCAAAGGGGCAGTTTCGATAGTGGACACAGGATGACCACAGGGCTATGGGCAAGGCCAGGAAAGATGCACCCAAGACTTTTTTGGTAGCACAAAGCACCTGCTCATTCTTCCAGGGTACCAAGAAGTTTGCTGGGGAACTTTACCTCATCTCCGCCCCGATCTTGCCCCTTCACACTTCTTGCTTCCTTTTAACAGGAAGCTGTGCCAAGAAACAATAGCTTCATATTTTGACAAAGGCTAGTATGATGTAATAATACTTCTTGACTTACACCCATATAAAATGTCACTTAATGCCACAGCTAGGCAGCCCTTTCTATGTGATCTCCGCAGACTTCTCCCCCCCGCCTTCCTGAGAAATTAACTCCTAAATGTTGTGGAGAGACCTGGTGCTGCGTCCATGAGCTGTCATTTCAGCACTCTGTCACCGAACCCACCGTCATCTTCACTCCTTTCCCCGGTCATCTCCACAGACTCGGAGAGCGAGGCCAGCGAGGTGCGTCTGGAGGAGGCTGCAGAGGTGACGCTGGCTTGCTTGCTCCCTGGGAGCCGGCTCACCCAGTGTTCACACAGCGAAGAGCTGGTGGAGCCTGCAGGACAGGAAGCCGACACTGAAGTGGAGACAGTCCCGTGGCCACACATACTGCACACAAGTCCCACGTGGGCTGCTGCCTGAGGATTCTCACCACAGGGTCAGCATTAACTGCCCCCCACCCCCAGGCCTGCGCAACTTTCACCAGGTAGAGAAACAACGGAAGGCACATCTCCATACACATGCTCGTGTGTATGGAGATGTGCAAGAACAGGGATGCACACTTAAGATGCAAAGTCTAATTCTTAAAAGCTCGGTGTCCCCCCAATAAAATGCTACTGAACAAAAAAAGCTGGATGCACAATAGACTGTAGTTATTCATTCACTCATTCTACAAATATTAAGCACTCGCAGCCAGGCACTGTTCTAAACACTTGCGGTTATAGCTCTGACGCAGCAAAAAAAAGACCGTGAGAGCATGCTCTCTTCTTTCTTGCCCGTTTTGTAAAAATGTTTAACCATTTTCAGTGTTCACACACACACCCCATCCCCCGTGTCAACCTGCCCTGTCTGTCCTGTCGGCTCTGACATAGAATAGGGCAACAGAAACCGCTCTTCAGGGCGAGTAGCTGAAGCAGCACGACTGTGTCAAGAAGACCTCAGCACGGGCGTGATTTCCAGGGTCTCTCAGACTCCGGAAAGGACCGTTGCTGTGAGCTGCTGTTGACTGGTTTGGACTCGTAGAAACCGTATGTGCAGCAGAAGAAAACACTGCTCGGTCCTAGGCTCTGCTCACAACTGAACTGTTGTCATGGCTGAGCCCACCGTTGCAGCCGCTGTGCTACCCCACTAGTCGAGGGGTTTTCTCTTTTTGGCGGACCATCTACTTTACCAAGTGTGATGTCCTTTTGCAGGGACTGGTCCCTCCTGATGAGATCTCCAAACGTCTATGCGAAGAAGCCTCCTGAGCCTCGCTTCTAAGGACCATTCTGGCTGTACTTCTTCAGAGACACATTTGTTTGTTACCTGCGTTACCAACACCACAATTCAAACGCTTCGCTTCTCTCCCAGTCCTCCTTGGTCAATGTCCAACTTTCGCATGTGTGGGACGTGAATAACCCCCCACCGTTTGAGTCAGGGCACCTTTGGTCTCAAAGTGACATCTTCACTCTTTAACACTTTAAAAAGGTCTTTTGCAGCAGATATGCCCAAGGCAATAAATACATCGTTTGATTTCTTGATTGTTGTTTCTGTGAATATTAACTGTGGACCCAATTAAAATTAAGTTCTGGACAACCTCAATCTTTTCTCCATTTATCATGATGTCGTCTCATGAACCAGTTGCAGGGATTTTCAATTTCTCTACTTGAGTTGTAATCCACACTGAAGGACGCAATCGTATCTTCCCCGGTAAGTTCAAGTCGTCCTCCATTCAGCAGACAAGGCTGTCACCTGCGCGTCTCACTCAACAAGCCTTCTATCAGCCCCGATGCCTTTCTTCAGTGTACTTTTTCAGATCACTTGCTCAGCATACAGACTGAAGCAGTCCAGTGAAAGAATACAACCCTGCCTACAAACCTTTCCTGAGTTTACAGCACTCAGTGTACCCTGGTTCTAGTCCAACAACTCTCTCTTGATCTAGGTATAGGTTTCACAGGAGCAAAAAGAAGAATTCTGGAGTGCCGATTCTTTGCATGTGACCTGTAGTTTGTTATGGCCCACACCGTTCAATGCTTTTGCATAGCCAATAAAACACAAGTTAACCTTGTTTTGGTATTTTCTGTTTTCAGTTGAGATCCATCCGACATCAGCAATGATATCCCTCATTCCATGTCCCCTTTTGATGACTTGCATTCCTGGCAGCTCCTTATTGATATAATGCTACAACCATTTTTATATGATCATCAGCAACATTTTATTTGCATGTGATATTAACGACATTGTGCAGTAATTTCTATATTCTGTTGGGTCACTTATCTTTGAAATGGGCACAAATATGGATCTTTCTGGGTTTTAGTGGTTAATCTCTCAGAAGTGGATAGCCTATTATTCTTCCTAATCTGTCTTAGTCTGGAAGCTCTGCTGAAACCTACCCACCAGGAGTGATCTTGCTGGAATTTGAAATATTGGTGATATCGCTTCCAGCATCGCACCAACATGCAAACACACCACCACAGTATGCTAAGTGGACAAATACATAGAAAGATGGGTGAGGACACTGGAATTCCCACTTTCTGTTAATCAGCTACTTCAAACGTCCCTTCCCAAACTTCAAAGGGACTAATGTTCTCTAACCTGAGCACACAAAACCCTGTTCCAGTCTCCGGTCACATAAACTCAAAGTCTGCACTAAAACGCCTTCATCCTTGGGTTGCATTATTTGTGGCTGCATCTGTATCACGGGTGAGGGCATTAGTTCCTGCAGCTATGACACACAATGAGCTTGACCCCAGTGGCTAAATCAAGCCGTTACATAGAATTATAGCTTTCAATCCTTCCCTTACGAGAATAGGCCAAATCTTCTGACCGGGAAATGGAAAACAAAACAAAATCTCTTTCTAATGGAGCTTTCTTTACCTTTTACAAAGCGTTTTAGCACACATTTACCTAATTTGGTGCATTCAACTACACCATGAGGTAGGTATTACTACTACACCCAGAGGATTAATAATGTGGTTCAGAAAGGCTCAGATGGCAAGTGCCCCAAGACAACCCAATCCAAGCACGGCAAAGCCAGGTTGAAGTTCTCTGTCTAACCCCCTCATTTTCTTTCCATTCGGAAGGTGTGCCCTACGCAGTCTATTCCAGAAGTAAACACAGAGCACTGGCTTGGGGCCGGCGCTCCATGCCCATCCCACATCATGCTAGCACCCAGCTGCTCTCACATGCGCACCCTCATTTCCTTGACTCTGATTACTTGGGTTTCCAGAGTAAATGCAAATATGAGATTTCCTCTGATCAAACTGACAAGAGTTGCAAGACCTTCTGGAGAGGCTCTCTGGTTCAATAATTACAATCATCCACTCTGGGAGGAAAAAATTGCCCAAGAACGAGGGTTGGTTGGCCTTACCCGCCACAGAACTATTGGCTGACCAGGAGGGTATAGCTGTCCGCCGCTGGTAGAAGAGGATATAGGCCGTCTGTGTGCAGACTTCATCTTCGGACAGCTGCTGCACGTCACTGTCATCGAAGCAGTACCAGAGGCCGTCCACAGAGTTCTTGCAGTATGCTGCCAGAGAGAGCGGGGGTCAGTACCAGGTGCACACCCACTCCACACTGACAGACACGATCACACTGGTTCAAATGATTAAGGGTGCATGTACTAACCGAGAAGCAGGTTGTTTTGTTTGTGTGAAATCTTTATTTCATTTCGCATTCAAGCAAAATGTTTGGGGAAATTCCAAATTCTTCCAAATAGACATTCTATTCAGCTGAGGAAAAACATTTACTTACATATAAATGGGTCTCAGAGTTAATTTTGCTCCAGGGGACTTTTGGCAACAAATGCTGTCTTAATTTGGTAGGGGTGGGAGGTGCTACTGGCTTCTAGTAGATAGAGCCAAAGGATGCTGGTGAAGTACACAAGACAGCCCCACTCCCCCCCTCCCCCCCAGCAAAGAATTACTGAGCCAAAATGTCAAGTGCCAGGGCGGAGAAACCTAAACATTTCAGGGTTTATTAGAAATGGGAACCCATGAGAATAGCAATGAGAGTAGTAGAGCTAGACAAATATTAGCTTATTGGCTGCTCCTGTTCTGTATACCATCGTTTCTATTCCCGCAGCTGCTTTAGGCCCATGGGATTTGCTCCATCACCACTCCCGTTTTACAGAGGCTTCAAAAGGCGTAGAAGCTTGCCCACGGCCAGGCAGCTGGAAAGGGCAGAAATGCGGGACAGCTCCTTTGAGGCTTTTGTCGCCTGTGCCTGCATTTAACCCTGCCTGCCTCAGGGGGTGCACAACCATGTCCCCCAAATGTATGCCTTGTAAATCCACCCTGTACCTCTGAGTGCAGTTCTATAGGAACAGGTTTTCTGCACTACGTTGATAAGGTTCTAACAGTGTAAAATGCATCTTCACTCAATCACTTTTGAGATCAAGGAATGATATCGAGGGCAAGTAAGCCAGGGGATGATTGGACAGAAACAAAGCCAAATGGGCAAAGACTGATGCCATGTAGAGACAGCCAAGAACCCAACGAGTGAAAACTAAAAAGAGACCTTCCCTAAGAGCCACCAGCGGGAGAACGGCTTTCCCTCTCAGGGCCGGTGCCCTGAATTCAGATCTCCAACCACCTCAACTGTGAGAAAATAAAGTTCTGTTCATTAAAGCCACCTGTTCTTGTTGTAACTGTTACAGCAGCACTAAGAAACTAAGATAGCACAAACGTCTCTTACAAAACAACAAGGAAGAGATTAAAAAAAAGAAAGAAGCCAAGACAAGGATGCTCTCATCTAAGTTCCCTGGCAGGCTGGGAAAACATGAGCTCATGAATGGACTTTGCTCTCAATTCAAATGTTAAGCCTGAGACAGAAATAAGGAGTGTTCAAGGACCAGCAAGAACAGACAAAAACGTAAGTGCTCACGATGTCATGCCACCCTATAAGGCTATATGAGGAGTGTTATGACTTGATCCCAAAAGGTGTAATATCACACTCTCTAAATATACACTCACTGGGGTGAGAACAAACGAGTGTTAGAATATTCAGCTGATTCCTGAGATAGACTCAGTATGGCCCCTGGGCAAGGGTAAGACTGGACAGAAATGAGGACACACGGGGCAAGACTGATGCCACATGGAGATGACCCACGAACAGAAACTAAGAGACCTTCCCACAGAGCCAAAGCCTTTCCCTAAGGCTGTGCCCTGAATTCAGATTCCTAACCTCAGAAGGGATGAGTAAGTAAAGTTCTGCTCATAAAGCCACCCACTTGTGGCGTATCTGTTTTTCCCTCCAGTTTCATATTGCTGACTTGTAATTTTATAGCATTGTGATCTGAAAAGATGTCTTGCTATACACACACATATGTATATGTGCATATTATGTGCTATGTATTGTCTTAATTTATTGAGGCTTGTTCGTGGGCAAAACATATGGTTTATTCTGGAGAATGTTCCAGGTGAATTGGAAAAGATTGCCTATTGTGCTGTTGTTGTGAAGTGTTCTGTATAAGCTTATGAGGTCAATTTGATTGGTTTGTGTAATTTAATTATTTTGTCTTTGTTGAGTTTCTAGTAGTTCTGTCGCTTATCAAAAGTGTTGTACTACAGCCTGGTGGTTGCTGGTCCAAATTGGAAGGAGGGAATGGCATCAGAACGTAAACTGTGAACACCCAATTTGCAGAAGGCCACGGATGGCAGTGGAAGCCCAGAATCCAAATGCAAGGTCCCTACGTGGATTAAGCCTCTGGTGAATTTCCCTCTGACCATAGACAAGGACTGAGAATAACCTTGCTAACAAAGTATTATAAACCCACTTATGCAGATGCAATTAGGTTAAAATGTAATACCTGATCATTTGATCTTCTTTTGAGCCCATTTTAAGTTTGTTCTAGTTTTCAATATTTCTTGTTTTTTCCTCTGATTTAATATTGTTGGTCTTTTCTTTCTTTTTTAACATATTTACTGTTAATATACCCAAGTGTTTACAGGAGCAGAAAGCCCAGTCTTTCTCCCACGCAGCTGCTGGTGGTTGGTTCCAAACTGCCGACTGTGCATCTCTCAGTCCAACGTGTAACCAATACACCACCAGGGCTCCGTATGAAACCCAGGATAAGCAAACACATAGAGATATAACTGGTGAAAAGGCTTATTGGGGATGGGTGAAGGGGGCAGTGGTGGAGAAGGTGGGAGAGAAATGGGGAGCAAATAATGAATACAAGAAGGAAGAAAATGTTCTAGAACTGATTGTAGTGATGCTCACACAATTCTTCTTCATGTGACTGAACTATGGAAGTGTATGATATATGAATTAAATCTCAATAAAACTTTTTAAGAAAATATTACGACCTTGGAAACCCTTTGGGGCAGTTTTATTCTAGCCTATAAGGTCGCTGTGCATCAGAAACAACTCAGTGATATCAAGTTTGGTTTCATAAGTCATATCAATGCTTATCTTTTATAAGGAGACGTGGTGGTGCAGTGGTTACAGTGTTCAGCTGCTACCAAAAGGTTGGTGGTTGGATCCCACGCGCTGCCATGCCGGAGAAAGATGTGATGACCTGTTTCCATCAATATCTAGCCTTGGAAACCCTGGGGGCAACTGATCAACACCGATGGGTTTTTATCTTTTAGGAGTTTAGAGGAACTTCTGAACATAGATTATCTTCTTTTCTACTAGAAAGTGCTTTGTAGGGTAAGTAGAGCCATTCCATTCTGATTTACCTCAAGCTGAGATTATTCCTCTCACACACCACTGTTACTTACAATACATAAATATTTAAAGAATTTAAATTAAAAGAGTTCAGCAATAAAAGATTATTTTGCATCCAAGCACCTTCCCCTACCCTCTTCTTTCTTGAGGGAGAAACCTCCAAAAACCAAACCCACTGCCTTTGAGTTGATTCTAACTCAGAATGACCCCATCTATGGTTTCTGAGGCTGTGAATCTTTATAGGAGCCGACGATATATTTCTCCCGTGGTGTGGCCAGTGGGTCTGCAACAGTGACCTTGCAGTGAGCAGTTCAACACTCACCAAGAGCACCACCAGGCTCCTTTGAGGGAGAAGAGGCATGAGCAAAGAGCAGACTGACGAGTAAGCAAGGGCTGGGGACAGCCAGCAGACTCCTTTGCCTACTTAATAGGAGGCAGCTTTACTGGATAACTGTTCTGAAATGAGCCTCTCCTCCACCCTCCGCCTACACTACGACCACTCTCTCCTCTAGCCTCTGCGAACCCACTGTTTGCAACTTCCATCACAGAACCATTATTATACATTACTGCATTTCTCTCAGCTTACTTAGAACTGCGTCCCCACTACTAGCTTGTACTTCAGAAAGTAGGAGAAAGAACTTACTCATCTCTGTAGCAACCCAGTGCAAGCTATATGAAAACAATCCAGCCATTGACGGCTTCCGATGTCTAGTGAACTTATATATGGATTCTAAGAATGTAATCTTTACAGGTGCAGACAGTCTCCTCTCTCTCCCACAGAGTGGCTGGTGGATTTGAACTGCTGACCGGACAGTTCTAGCCTGCTTTACAGGAGGTGTTCAGTAAGTGTTCACAGAGGAGAACATACAAGTACAATCACAACAGTGTACAATAACAGCAAACCCTTGCGGAAAACAGGGAAAGGAAATGCCGTACGTCAAAATGTTACCAGTGGTTGCTGTGTGTTAGGTCAGCCATGGTTGCCGGCATTCTTTCCATTCTCTCTAGTCGCAAAATTTCATGGCTGCTTTTATAGAGTGAAAAGTATATTTAACCTTAAAATAAAACGAAAAACCTTTCCCAAGTCACCTTAAAGACACTGTGCAATGGCTTACCACCACTCCAGCAAAGAGGAAGAGCGTAGAACCTCAAACAAACAGAGCAAATCCTTACACTGGAAGTGCAAGCTGGCAAACAAAAATCCACCCTGGGTTCACCACACCATGCAATCTCCTGTACACACCATTCCCCATCCCTGTCACCGAACTAGATAACTTGGATGCTCAACTCAGGACAAGGCTCAGAAGTGTTGAATGATTCGTTCTGAGAGCCAGATGATGAAAAGAGGCCTTCACAGTTGGCATACTGCCTGCCGGAAGACAAAGGCAGGTCTTCTAAAGGAAAGGAGCCCTGTCATAAGCAAAGTGTGTCTGAATGAACCGTCAGAAGGGACGCCAGCCTCTTGCATTGCAGACCTGTGTAGTGCCCCCCTTGCATGGTGCCATGATGATTGCACACAGCATACAGGTCATAGATGTAGTCCTCGGGGTCCCGCCCGAGTCCATAGGGCCGCCTCCACGGGGACCAATGCGATGGCAAACTCCAGCTGCTCTGACTTCTCTTAACCACGTGAGGGGTCATGTCCAGGCCAGTCAAGGGAAATCTGACCATGTTCTGAAGTTTCATACGCCTGTCTCCTTCCTGTTATAAGAAGAAAAACAAGTTTGGATGATATTTTAATGCAAACAGATACCAGATCAGTTTAGTATGTACCCTATCTGTTGAAGAGGTTTGATTTACCTATCTGATGTTTCCCAAAGTATATGCAAAACAGGGGAACAAACTAATAACTTTAATCATCCAGAGTAAAAGAACAGAACTGGTTTAATACCACTATGAGTAGAACCAATGATGAACTATATATAGGGGTTTTTAACATCCACACACACACACATATATACGTATATATGGGTTAACTATATATAAAGGTTAGCCCCTTATAAATAGTTCACCACTGGTTCTATTCATTAAGAATCTGAGTCTTCATTTCCTTATTGTCTGTATTTTTTGTTTTGATTGCTTGTGCTGGAGTTTATCTCAGACGTGTTTTGTCATTGGGAGTGACCCTTTTGAAGTTGTGGTATGTTTTCTTGTTTTTTAGTATATGAACCCTAGGATTGATAAGCTCATAGGGACATCAAGTAGAGTAAGGGTTGCTGGGGGGTACAGTAGTGGTGATTGTGGGGGAGGGGGTAAAAGGGAGCTGATGTCAAGAGGTTGGAGAAAGAAAAGAAAGTTTTGGAACTGATTGTGATAGCAACAGTACAATACCACTTGATGTAATTGAACGATGAAATTTTATTAACTCCCAATAAAATGGTCTTGAAAAAAGAAGTGGGCAAAAGATATGAACTACAGTTCACCAAAAATGACAGTCAATGAATAATGAAAAAATGTTCACCACCATTAACTATCAGGAAGATGGAAAAAAAAAAAAAAGCACTAATTCTATTAGTTTTTCTTTACTTAGAAAAGCGACAAATTCTACTGGTTCATCCTGTCACAGAGGCATGAGACTAAAGAGAGTAATAGCCTATATATCTGGAGCAAGGTACCGTACCTGGCGCAGAACAGCTATTTAGTAAGTGGTGCCTTTTTCTTTTCTACCTCGTCCAGTAAGACATTAAAAGTTAACAGTGACTAAGCTCAATATAATATATTCGGTTAGTTGATGATCTTAGATAAACTCTACCATTGACCGTACAAGGAAATCCTTTGGTAAGGAAAAAAAAAATCCTTGAATAGGTATTGAGTGAATGTTTCCCCTGCCTGTAAGAGGTTAAAAAAAAAAGGAATCATACATGGATAATGCCACCCCAACAAGCTGTGGATCTATTAGGAAGAGACTTTCATACCCATCCTATCATTAGAATGGCTCCCAGAGAGTCAAAAGGTCAGGCTCCAGTGTCTGGAGCTGGTTCTGTAGTTAACAGAGAGTCACCGAAGCTCCATGGAATAGGCAGTGCCGTCAGAGCTGTGGGTGAAGTGTGGAGGCAGTGTGTAAACACATCAGAAAGAGAAGAGTCCTGGCGGTGAGAACCCAACTTAAAAACGACTGCAAGTGCCATCA